GGGCAAGGCTCAGGTAAGTCAAAAAGTTGTGGCCGGTGCAGAATGCGTGCGTCCAGGAAGCACAACCTCACGGGCAAGGCTCATGCAAGTTGAGAGTAGTGGCCAGTGCAGAATGTGTGCGTCCGGGACGCACACCCTCACGAGTAAGGCTCATGTAAGTCAACAATTGTGGCCAGTCCAGAATGTGTGCGTCCGGGAAGCACACCCCCATGAGCAAGGCTCAGGTAAGTCATGAGTTGCGGCCAGTGCAGAATGTGTGCGTCCGGGAAGCATGCCCTCACAAACGACACTTGTTAGAAAGCCGCCTCCGACTCTTTCCATCCATAGTCTGGCATTATGCGTCCGGGACGTACATGCGCGGCCCCTAGGCCTTTTCTTGCCCTCTTTCTTGCACCTCTTCCTGTGTCTTCCCTACACTCGCTCTTTGTACACTCTCCCTAGGGCTTTCCCTGCGGCCTTTCCTACGGCCTTTCCTACACCTTTCCTACAGCCTTTCTTATGATTTCTCCTACAGCCTTTCCTACACGTTTGCTACGGCCTTCCCTACGGCCTTCCCTATGGCCTTTCCTACGGCCTTCCCTAGGGTTTTCCCTAGTGGAATCCCCTACCTAGTCTTCCCTACCCAGTCCCATTAACCTAACCCTAAGTCCCATTAACCTAACCTCTGGGTCAACCAGATGGCGTATATGCATTGTCCAGATAACGCAGATGTTACGCCATAGCTGCAAGAAGAGCCTTGTGCTCGCGCAGGCAATCTTGCGACTCCGTGCACTGGCTATGTCAGTGAGTCGAAAAGGGTAGTTCTGACCTCAATATCTCATAGCGGAAGGACGATGCTTCCGTACGCTGTCCTTGAAAGGAGGGGCAGGACATCAGGAACGACGCAAGCCTATTTTCTGTGAGCCTCGTAGCATTAGCCTTCGGGGGAGCAATATTGAAGATGAGTGTTGCATCGAAGCCACTGCTGCAGACCTTCCGGCTGGAATTGAAGAAGTGCATGCGCTGCTCGGGGACGAGTTAAAAGAGCGAGAGAGAGGGGTGTCACTGCGTTGCAACAAGAGCTCCAGAGGTCCTGTGGCGGAACACGAGTGAGACTGGCATCGATGAAGACCATACAGAGAACCACGGCCAGGCGATGGGCCTTTAAATATGGCCGGCGCCCTGGTGCATTGCTTTCCAGAAGGCAGGCGGTCATGGTGAACGCGTTGCAAGACAGAGGAGAGACACGAGCGAGCGGGCAAGTAAGAGACGTGAAGCAAAATCAACAGAAAAGGCAAAAGCAGAATAGAGAAGACGGAAGGGGGCACTAATTGAATGGTGCCCGGCTGATCACTTGAAGGTGTGAGCCCGGTCATAATGAATAGCTAAGAGGGGGATGAACGATGAGCGCGATGAGCGTGAGGAGCGTGAGGAGGCTGTGAGTGAACTATACGAGGTGGTGGGCCTGTGAATCGCAAGTTAAGCGCAAAGTGCCTTATACATATTGAGCGAAGGAACGTACTACGCAGAAGCACGCTGTGCGCAATGGGTCGTTCCACGAGCAGATACGGGCTATATGCCCCCCGACGCAGGCATGCTCACGATCTAGCAGAGGAAATTAACCCTCTGGTTGTATACAGACTGCGGAGTGGAAACCTACGTCCGTCATTTAAAATGCTCCAAGTGTGCACGAAGCTTGTCGGGGGAGAACTCTTCATCCTCTGAGATGTCTAGGTCGAGATGACCGAAGGGGGCGGCGGGATCGCCTTCACATCAAAGGTTTGCTGAGCAGGGCATCAGTACCAAACAGACGAATAGATAAGGACCCTACATACCTCATTAGAGCGCTGAACGAGGGCGAAGAGGTCCTCATTCGAGAGGCAGTTCACGACGGTTAGAGGAAGCTGCACGAGATCTCTGTCCCAACGACATCCCTAAACTCGGGGCGCTTGAGGCCGAGCCCAACGTCTATGCTCTTGTCTGGGTCAGGCGCAAGCTTGACGGTCTGCGCAATGACATCTTCGTCAGTCTGGAGGAGGGGATTGCCATCTGGTGCGATAGTAAGATTCTCCGTCAGTCCAAATCGAGTGTCGGGTTTGTTGACGGGACTCTGGGGAAGTTGCTGTGTGGACCATGGGGTGTCAGTGTTAACGTTAAGGATGAGAGACAGCGGGCGGGGCACAACCCTCTCAGCCCGCCGCCCGACCTGACATCACGCATTCTCACACTCCAACGCATCCGTCACGTAGAACGCGCCCTCTCCTCGGCAATAAGACTGTGAATTCAACGAAAACAATAGACAGCAGAGCAGATAACAAAACATCAATGACAACGGCGGCACAATTATTGGCCGTTGAGTACACTATCGTCCGCGAGGCCCCGCGGGCTGTCCTACACACCAGTCATTGCTTAGTTTGTAGTCAGCAGAGAACATAATTCACGACTCACTACTCAGCAATCAACGACGCTCAGCCACACCATCCGGTCAGACATCCTCTTTTGGCTCATCAAGTTCCGGGACTCGGAGGGAAGCCTCAACCTAAGCAGAAAGGTGAGTCTCTGAGCAGACTTGACAATAGGATGCAAGGTATACAGCAGTAGAAACAGTGTTGTCCTCCCAGTTGTACTAATGTTAGTGTGCAAAATATATTAGACCAGCGACTGACACAAGACAACGATCATGCACTTACACAAGCATGCTCGCACTGCTTGTAAGGGTGGAACTGACGCCGTTTGCGAGATTCAACCCTGCACAGCCGTTGGTATCTGACCGTCGAAGAGATATCTTTAGGCATCTTGAGAGAGACGTTGTAAGGTTGAGTGATGCTTATAGAGATGACACCAACACTCTGGTGTTTTTATGCAACTCTGGTTCACACTGCATCAAGGCACCGAAACCAAGTCGCCGCGACACCGCTCGAGATCCAATTTCGCTACGCGCGCCGCATGTCGGTGGTCCTAGGTCGCGCAGCATCGATTATGCAAAGACCTGCGCTTAGACAGAGCCCAGTTGAGTGCCAAATTTCGTTCGCGCTTGTCTAAACGTCTACGTACGGCCCTACTAAGCGATGCATGCGCCATCAGAAGAAAGCTCTGACGCACCTTAAACGTGCCGTTTTTGAGAACCCGAGATGCGAGATACTACTTTGCGTGATACCGGCCATCTATGGCTGTCTGTACGCTTCCCCAGATTAGACTGTCTTGAGTTGCAGTCGACATCTTGATTCACTGTAGATAATCATGTCACCAAACGAAACAGCTAGGAAACAGCGTACACGGAGATATCGGGTGCAATGGAAGGCTCACGGTAGTATGCCTCGTTTTTGCGCTCTAGTTCGGTCCAACCTTCTCTCGCTTGCATCTGCACCTTGGCTCGTGTTCGACTGGCCATAACATCCGAGTTTACGTACCTGAAAGAGGGTTTCTTGCGTGACGATTCGCCGAAGTGTGGCCTTCGTACAAGATGCTCAGGGTCCCGAACGCGCCTTGTTGCACCTAGGCTGGCGAGAGGGAATGTGACGCTAAAGCGTAGTGCACGGGCGTGCCCCCATCAAGCCGCAGCTATTGCTCATGATCATCGGGTAGTGACAAAAGGACAGTGACGGCGGCAGCCTCGTTGTGTCCCATCGAGCGCTATCCTCATAGCTGGCAGACACGCGTAGGGGTCAGAAGATACCATGTAGTAATGTGACGTACAGATAAACAATAGTATCACAGGCGCCGTAGAGGATGCAGCAATATCATTGTGTCAATGCACGGCTCGACATGGCGCGGCTGAGGATCGCGATGTCGAGCACATAGGATGCGCTTGGGCAACAATACAGCCACATGCAGCATACATTACACACCATACATTGTACGCGCATTCTCTCGTGCCTCGCACAAGACCTGTGTGATTGTCCATTCATCCCCACTATCACCAGCTGCCTCGCGTGCAACAACTGCGACAAATGCGGCTGTCCAAGGGATCATGGCTGTGTGGGAGAGTGGCAGGCGGCCCTTGACTTCTTTAAGGGCAGGCGTCGCATATATATTGGAGGGTACCATAAACGGTGCATCCGTCTCGAGGACGATGCGTAATGGTGAGCGCTGGCTCGGTGTGGGATGTTGCACAAGCCAGCGAATGACAGCAGAGGTGTTGAGGTTTGTAGAGTACGTGATGACACCTATGGCACGAGGACAACGGGCTTAGCTCTGTGGTACGCGACAAGAAGGCAAGATAGATGATATACCGGTGACACCAATGAACAGGTTAGGGAAATGATCTAACATCCGCGCAGCCCATTCTGGCGAGTCTGTGTAACAATGTATATGGATCTGCAGCCACTCCCATCAGCATTGCGCAGTGCGAACGAAGGGACGTAAGCGGTTCCCTGACCCTGTGATCTTTAGGAACATGCTCTTTGAGAATATGTTCCGCGTCCTCCTCCGCCTCGCGTGTATGGATCGTCAGCGGCTTTCCGAGACGTACGGCATGCTGCAGCTGGCGCACGAAGACGGCCCGCTGAATATCGCGTGGTGAATTGTCATAGTGGTAGTCCAATCCAATCTCGCCCCAACCGACACAGCGCGGATGCGCCATGGCCTCCAATCTACATTCAGACGTTAGGATGAAACCAAAGGTCGAAACCCAAAGAAGACCCACATATCTGTCTCCACGTCGTCGTTGTAAAGCGACGCCTCGTGTCTACATAATTAGCAATGCGTCAGTGAGCTGAGTACATCGTGTGCTGTAGGGCAGAATCCTGCCAGCTACCACCCGCAGTAAGTGGGTGATTCGGTCCAGTGTTTAAGCTGGCCGCGAGGACGGGCCATCAAGTCCAGCACCTACGAGGCCATGCTGAAGGCAATTGAGAGACATCCGTAGGTCAATTCTTGATGCATGATCATACCTTGCAGCCCGAAATGGCGAGATTCTGCCCACAGTACTACATTCTGGTTGAACATAACTTACGGGTGGACGCCTACCAAGCCAATCTTACAGAGAATACAGATACATAAAATGCAACGACTTACCCATAACAAACCAATACTCTATGCCGCCCCATTTCTCTCGCCTGTCCTCCTCCGTGAGAGCAGAGTTCGCAATGGACCGCCATACACTCTGCACGGGAGCCTCGCACCAGACGTCGACGATGGCCTCTACGTTATGGCCAGCATATAGCCCGCGCACGAATTCATGAACTGTATTGTATTTTCCTTGTGCGTATTTTGACTTGTACGCGTTGAACGTCGAGACCAAGTGTGTGTGAGTATCTATGATCCGCGGCTTGTCGTGGATCTCTTCGAGTTCGGGATGTGAGGACAAGGACAGACACGATTCAGTAGGGACAAATGACTTTTTGTTCTTGCCCATGTTACGTCTATTAGTAAGACTTGGGGTCGTTCTCGAGCAAAATTGTCGCCTCGAAAGGTGGAAATAGCGGATACAGTTCATCGGCACTTCAAGCGCCCATCGAGCCTCATAACATATGTTGGCTCATACACTTGCGCTGAAATTGATAATGTCCATATTGAAGTATTGCACATCAAAATGATGTTCGTATAAACATGAAATTGCGTAAATCTACGTGATGAGAGGGCAGCGCGACAGCGAATGCGACAGCAATGTGGTAACGAGAATGATACGAGACCCATGAATATGAAGCAGAATGATGGCATTAGTCCGTGATGCAAGTGTGCAAGCGAAGCAATAAATGAATAGTCAAGGGGGCGCTAAGTTAACAATTGCAAGTAGAGATCTCAGCTCAAGGATACACTCGCTGCAACGAGCGTGCACCTCTCGTGCATTCTCAAGTAGCGGTTTTATGTTCTCTGGGGTCATGGCCAGCCGGGTCTCTGGCAGAACACCGGCTGACATATCCGGGCTATGATCTAGGAGGGTTTGAGGTGGCGCCGACCGCACAGAGCCGGACTGATCGCCCTTCTGGCTTCGAGACGGCGGACGCTTAGGGCTCCGGCTTGGCCGCTCTCTCCCGCGGGATGGTGGACGCGAGTGGTGACCGGTAGAAGCCTCAGCGAGGTGGCGCAAGCGTGTACCGGGAGAAGACAACACAGACTGCAGTCGGGAGGAGGATCTCTCTGCGCTGATGATGGACGACTGAGAGGCGGAGGGCGATCGCCGTGGGGTCTCGGGGACCGGTTCGCGTTGGTGTTGCATAAGGTACGGCGAACGACCCTTCTTGCCACGGACCGTAGCCGTGCCCTCCGAGGGGCCGAGCACGCGCTGCAGATCCGTCACGGAGTCAATCCTATCCCAGTCCTCTTCCTCTGCGAAACCAGGTGAACGCCCCGCTCCGGAAGCACTGCTGGAGGGACTGGGACCTGGCATCTTCAGATCCTCTGCCGACTGTTCAGTCGCGGTTGACGATGGTTGCTTGCTTTTCTGCCCGATCCTGAAAATAGATGCCAGGGACGGACGGCGCGGTGACGAGCGATGCGAGAACGAGGCGGAGGTGACATAAGGCGAGTTGGGATGCCGGTCCCGCTCGCGCGTAGAAGCCATGGAATCCGGCCCCGTACTCGTCTTTGCGCGCCGACGTTGAACCAGCGACTGCGGGCGGAACTCCCTCGGGCCTTTATTGAGCGACGAATCAGTGCTTGTCGAAACTGAAATGGACGATGATGGAACGATAGTTAGCGGCGGAGCGCCTTCAGAGTAGCTCTTCTTCAGTGACTTGAGCATGTCCCTGATACCGCGAAGACGACTACTTCGTCGTTTCTGCTGCTTTACGTTGCCAGCCGACTTGCCAGAACCACCAGCTTGCGTGTCCTCTTCGCTAGGCAGCGTTACCGTACTCCCTGTCGGATCACCCCACCGCCAGCTGCGATTGACAGCCGTACCATTCCAATCTTCCTCTAGGATGGGCAGATGATGTTCGAGGGTCATGGTCGCCGCCGGGTCTGGATTGTTCAGCATCTCGCGCAGAAGGAGAAGCTGTCGGGAGCTCAAGTCATGCCTGCCAGTAGACGCCCGCCACTGAGACGCGTTGGGCGGACTCGCAGGGGGCGGCGAGCCAGCTGTCTCGCTCAGCGGAGTGATGACCGGCTTCGACTCATCACCAGCCAGCGTTATCGCACGCTCTCGACTCTTGCGTCCGTCGATGGGAGTTGCGGAACCATGGGGAGCCACTGGTTGGTCTGTAGGAGGAGACGATGTGGGTGCCGAGGCGGGCGGCACCGCAGGTGTACCACTGCCTAGATCGATGAGCAGCTCGGCACACTCCCAAGACAGCTGATATCGAGACTCAATAGAGCGGAACGCAAGTACATAATCCTGAGGGCTCTGTGGGGATTGTGGTGACACAGGATTCGTATTTGAGCGCGACCGAGACGTCGGCCTTGGCAATTGAAACAAAGTTGGGGTAATTGCTCGCAAAGGAACTTGTGCTAACGAATTACTGAGGGTCGATTGCAGCTCACCAACAAGGACGTAGTATGCAGCCTGGAGTTGCTTTAATTCTGCACCAAGCAGTCGTTATTAGCCAACAGCAATGTAAATCAGAATTCGGACTCACGCTCAACACTCATGGCGAACTCCCGTACCATGCCCAGATCCCTTCTCAGCCCGACCTGTGCCTGACTGATTCTGGCCGGAATCTTCAAGTCGCCCAATGAATTCCTCCTAGGAACCAGCCCGCTCCCTGCCACGTCTCGCTCCTTCGGTGGCTGCGTAGCCCGTCCTAGCGACGCGGCCTGCTGTGGCGATGTGGACTGCCGCGGCACCGTGGGCGAAGGAAGTGGTGACGCTGGTGGCGAGCCCGACGGAGATGGCGTCTTGCGCACGACGATGGGCGTAGGGGATCGCGACGATGACAGCGCAGGGTGTGAGCGCGAGGACTCCAACATAGGATGTAGTCTGAAAAGCGAACGCAGCTCGCCACCCGCAGATACGCGATGACGATCGCCGCCTGCGCGACGTGGCGGGGACGGTGGCTCTAGCTCAATTGGAGGCAGCAGTCCGTCCTGCGAACTGCGTACGATGCGTGACGGTGGCCGAGGAGTTGTCTGGTCCTGCAATGCCTCAAGGTCTGCTGCCGCTGGGGCCGGGAGCATATCCTCTTCCGGTGGTGCGGAGCTCTTCATCCGCTTGTGCTTCGCGCTCCCTCCTAGGCTAATCCTGCGCATGCCGCCCATGAAGCTCCGGCTGCCCTCCTTGTCCTTGTCCTTGTCCTTCCCTTTCCCACTCATCATCGTAGGGTCAGGCTGATGCTGTGGGTAACACCCTTCCCTCACCGTGGCGCTTCTCGATGTACGGACCACATCGTCCGTGCTCGCAGACGCTGAACGTGGCTTCGAGTTTGACCTGCTGCCCGCAGTGCCCGGCCGCCGCACTAGGTCGTGACCGTACGATGCGTGTCTCGGCACGGGCGCACGCCGACTCGCCAAGCTAGATCCTGAGCTAGACGTTGACAACGATTGCTGGATCTGCATTGATGTCGGCCGCTTCGGCGTGCTCGGGAACGCCTGCGCTGGTCCCGCCACCAGATGTCTATCCACCGATCCGTCCCCATCGCCGCTCATACGTGGCCGCGCCAAGCCCTTCCGCGACGGCGAATCTGGCCCCCGTTCAATGCCGGCCAGAGCTAGAAGCCGGTCTACGCTCGTCTCATGCCGGAGAACACCTTCATTAGCGGGCGGCGGCCCCGGTCCACCGCCGCCGCCACCGCGAAAAAACCAGCCGCCTTTCTGTGCTGGCGGGGATCCCACGACGGACTGCGGACGCGATATACGCTCCTCCTGCCCGCGTTCGTGCAGAATGACCTCTGAAGGGCCCGTGCTCGCGCGCTTCTTGCGTGATGCGCCCCATTTCTTGCCTACGGACCCGATGCGCGAAAGGAGAGGCGTCTTGCCTGACGACGCACCAGCAGCCGCGGCGGAAGTCGACGGTCCAGGGTCAGGTAACTCGTCGGGTAGTGCACTGGTCTTCCTCTCCGGAGTAGACGGTGGCGGAGGCTCTTGCTCATCCATCTCGTACATGTCCGGTATCATCGCAGGTGGGCGAGACTTCTTGCGCAGGCGTCGGCGTTCGCGATGGATTGGCGGGCTTGGCGGCAAGAGGGCGAGAGCAGAGCTGCCAGCAGACATCATAGGTCCCAAAGCAAGATGGCCGGTGGATGAGAATGAGTGCGCCGCGACCGAGTCACGGCCGTTGCTGGACACGGGCATCGAGAACACGGACGCGGTGGGAGAGCGCGGAAAGGGAGAAGGGAGCGGGGGCACGGGCGGCGGCATGCCTTGCGGGATGGTGATGGGCATGCCGCGCGAGCGCGACGTCACTGTCCGGTCCTCCTCCTTGTCAGCAAACCCAAACTCGTCGTCCTCGTCTGAAGAGCCCCAGGACGGCTTCTTGCGGGGTGTCTTGCGCCGAGGCGAGCGGCGCTGCGTGCCGTCCTCAAAGTCGTCGTCCCAGTTGTCCGAGTCTTCGTCGACATGCTGCTGATGAGAGCGACGCCGTGCAGGGGAGTTGGTGCTATCACGAAAGTCATCGTCCCAATTCTCCGGCCGCTCAACTGCACGTTTTGAGGGCGTAGACGGGCCAGGCTCTGTCCACCGACGAAGGGTGTTCTTCCTATCCTTCGACAGCGGTGTTGCAGCTTCTGTAGCACCCGGAAGCGAGTCAGAGTTCGAGGGTCGGTTGTTGAACTCGAAATCCTCGTCCCAACTCTCAGTTGGATCTAAGGGGATGGGTTAAGAGCATAGACACGCATGGAGTAGGCACATACCTGGACCTTCAGCGGTCGCAACGGCCATGTAATGCTGCCTGAGAGCGGTTTTCGTGAGTGCTCCTCGTCGTCGTAGTCAAAGTCGTGTCCGTCGTCGTCGTCGTTGTCGTTGTCGAAGCCCGACATTGGTTTCGTTCGAAACAGGCACTCGTATAGACAGGCGCCAGGGCACTGGTTAGGGTTAGGTCTATTGGGATCCATCGGGCATGGTTTTCTGTGAGGACCATCGAGTCTTTGCATATTCATGGTCAGGCTATAATTAAGAGGAATCTTCGTGTTTACTCATCATTCACGACAGCAGTTAGGTAACACAAGCACCATGATTCGGAAACCAAATACACACAGCGAAAAACACTCATACTAATACGTGCGATAGAGATACGATACTTGGACGACAGGATGGATGCGTAGAGCGCGACAAGCAACAGCTTACTCATCTCCGATTTTGGGTGCCAGATAGTAGCGGATGTGCCCCTGATTAAAGTCATACGACACCTGCAGCGCGCAGACGACTGATCAGTTCGTAGTGCCTCTCAGAAACGGACCGCACGTACCAGAAGCGGAACGTCGTTGCTCAGCATGAGCTGCACGACATTCGATAGCGTACTGCTCTTCGCGAAATTGACCAGGTACTTCAAGCTGAATGTCAGGTTAACGTGCTGGTTCATCTCGATCGTCACGCCCTCCGGTGGGGCATCATCGTCCGCTGCCTTCTTGGCTTTCTTTGCCGGCTTGCCGTTCTGCGCAACGACGTGAGCAGACCACCCGCAGACACACACACGCTCTCACCTTCGCCGGCGCCTTTTTGCGCTTCTTGCTCGAGCCCTCCTCTTCGTCGTCCTCGTCCTCGTCATCCCCGCCCTTAGGCTTGAACTCCTCGCGATCCTCGTCCTCGTCCTCATTCATCTCCACATCCTCTCCGTCCTCCTTCTTCACCTTCTCCTTCTTCACTCGCTTCTTCTTCCCACCCTCCTCGTCCTCGTCCTCAGACTCGCGCGCCTCCTCCTCCTCCTCTTCATCATCGTCTTCCTTCTTCGATGACGAGCCCTTTCGCGCTGACGCCTCGGACTGTCGCAGCAGGATGTTTCCGTTGGCCGCCTCGCCGTCCGAGATGAAGCGCACGCCCTCCTTCGACACTTCAATGCGGACCGACTCGCCCAGCTGTGATAGGTCTCGCACAATGCGTGTGAACTCGGCCGAGGGCATGGATACGCGTGCGTCGTAGTCCGTGTCTGGGATGTTCAGTGTGTCCGCGTCGATGTCCATGAGCTTCATTTCGTACTCGGCAATACGATCAGAGTCTGGCTACGCGTCAGTCACAGGCTGAAAGCAATACAATGGGAACACGAACTTCGCGCCTCGTATGTCAAGCTCAGAATATCGGCATCATCCGCTGCTTTAATAATGCACACATCGTCATCCTTCGCGCACTTGAGGACCTTCGTGAAAGAGCCCAAGTTTACGCCGAGAGGCAGCGGTCGGTCGCATCGGTATTTCTTAAAGCCTGATGCAGACAGCTTGACGGACACGAGCGCGACGTGTGAATTGTCCATCGCCTGTAGGTTCTGCACGCATCCCATCAGTATGACTGGAATCGAAGTACGAGACCGTGTTAGTATCTACATAGAGTACAGAGCGCCTCTAATATGATACTCTCACACACCGACACGTTGCTGACGCGACGCGTTTCGGTGCGATTGTCCTTCATAACTTTGCGCGCGTCACTGGAGCCACGAGTGGTCTGAGAAAGATAGGTGGCCCACTCGTGCCACTCTAGGATGTTGGCCGTGTACCATGACTGCCCGGAGACCGCGGCATTCAGGGTCAAGCTCCAACTGCCATAGGTCAAAACCAGGCCTGCCAACCTGTGGATGCTGGAGCCTGGCTGGATACCGCCCTCGTCGTGACTATTGACTGCAGGTGAAGCGGGGCCGTGATCCGGGGGAAAGCATCCAGAGACGTGTAGAGAAGGCACAAGGAACACGTAGAACTCACAATGCCCTCCTCATTGCACTCGAAGTTGGCGTCCGTAACGAGCTCCTTGATGGCTGCGGCGCACAATGAGAACGCGTCGCGTCGCGTGGAGAGCACTTACAGTCGAGCAGACGCTTGAGGATGGCGGCTTCTGCGAGGCGTGCTTCGAGCATAGCGGATAGACGAAGTGGTGCGGGTCAGTGCGAGGAGCCAGAGGGCGTGAACGCGTCTGGAGTGGAAGAACACGAACGCGTCGAGCGAGTAAATAGCAGACGCGCCTGTCACAAGCATGTCACAGATACGCCATCACGTGCTCCTTCAACGCCGACAGTAGGCGTATAATGCGGGCTACTTTCCTCTGCGCAAGCATGCTGGACATCGTCCGAGTCGAGCCAATTTACAGGGTCACCAGGCCTCAGGAGTATCTCTCCTGCTTCGCGTTTACTCAGGAGCGTGACATTGCCGTCGCAGCTACCTCTACACCGATCGCCTTGCCGTCCGCCCAGCCCTCACAAGAATAAGACAGGATAAATGGTGCACGCTTCAATACATTCTTTACCTTAAACATTGGAGACAGGAAGAGAATATGAAGAAAAGAAGAGAACACAGAAAGAAGGCAAGACTAGCGCATCTCCCGCGACTCATGGCGCGTGTATCGTCGCTGCGTATATATGGCTCCTCTGCAGCCTTGGGCACAATTCAACACTACGACAGCCAAAGCAAAGACAGGTAAACTACTTTCAAAGCTGGCGGATATGGGCCCCAGTTAATCACAAAATGTAATCCGGTCTGAATTGTGAGCACAGCACGACCCTCAGCTGTGGCTGACGTTGTCGCTCATCTTCGTGCTGGCCACATCCATCACTCGCACTGTGTGTCTACTAATTTCGTCACTCCTTTATTCTCTTTCAACTAGCTTTTATTGTTATTCTGCAGCCGTCTCGTTTTGCCCTCTGCTTGCTGGTCTCGTAGCTTTCAAATTCCCCCGTGATGGCATCCCTATCCCTAGACACCGACACACACCCCATGCCGCTCCTAACAAGAGGGAACACGCCTTTGACACGCCGACCAGTGCAGATATCTAGTGAAAAGAAGACGCCGCGGCTCATGGATTTGCAAGAAGCGGAAGAAACACAGAATCGCCAAACCTTAGAAGAATGGAGAACGGAACTAGTCAGCTCCTTCAAAGCATTTGGCAGCACTGCGAGATCTAACACCATTTTACCATATGTATCATATTTGAACAGGAACAATGGCATACGCTCCTGAAGACCTTCGAATCAGTTAAATGTGAATTTTCCGATCTCGACGGATTTTCTTGGTCGACCCCAGAAGCGCAACGCAGGCTCCTTTACTGGGCAAGCTCCTTCTTGCTTTCCCCTGCTTTAAATCCTCACCGCCGTTCAGCAGCTCAAGTCCCAAGTGCTGACTATGCGCTGTGAAGTCGACTGCCTGTCCTCTGCTCCGCGCTCAATGCCCGCCACGCCTCTACAGAGCCCCGAAGCAAGTAGCACTGGTGGTACGATTCGGGCGCCAAGCGGTCCGCGTTTCCCGCCCTCGCGTATCGAGTGCATGCCGCCGCTCGCCCTGCCCTCGAACCTCCAAGAGCACGTCGACGCGGTGTTAGACGGCGATCTTCCGGGGTCGCCTAGCGCAGTCAAGAAGCCACCTCGCAGCTGTCCGCGGAGCGCGCGCCGCATGCCGCCACACCGCGTCTTCAGCTTCCCGCTCCGGGCAGGCCCGCCGCCAGAGATACGCACGAAGACCATACGTCTGTCGGACACGAGCGCAGAGCCGACCCCGCGTCTTCCAAGCCTTGCATTCTCGTCGCCCACAGCGATGCTGCGGGTCTCGAGCCTCCCTGCGAATGTCCCTGCAGGTCTGGCAGAGATCGCCAGCACGCAGATGCCATCCGATGGCTCACCTCCAACGCCCTCCACCCCGCGCGTCGGAACGGCTCGCCCTGATCCCGAGCGAGGGTGCCCGGTCATGGAGCGGACCAAGACGGTCTACGGTCTACCGGCACGCCAGGCTCGAAAAGTGGTGGCAGTGCCTATGTCCCGTACGCCGTCGTTACTCGGTGTGGTCCATCAGCAGATAGACGCAGACAACGAGCCCGAGCCGCCTAAGATGGAGCGCACGAGGTCCGTTTGCGGTTCTTCGAGGAAGGTCTCGAGCGGTGCTGCCATTCCACTGTCGCTGATCCCCAGTATGAGGCGCACTCTGAGTCGGGGCCCGGAATGCCCGCTCATAGCATGCACACTGACTGCCAGCAGTAAGCTGATGACGAGGGCGCCATCCATTGGCGCAGACTATCTCACCCGACGGGCAAAGCGTGGGGGAGTATCACCACGTCTTGGATGGCAATGATAGCTAGTTAAGACATTTATGTGGCGCTGGACGCACATTGTAAACATCTCGTAACGTTGTATGATTAGTGTTGTTTCTATGCTATCCTCAACCAGCATTAGGTTTCATTATGAACGCGGGCCCGACTATAGACACCCGTAAAGAGATCCGGATCCAAGTCTCCCGAGTCGAGGCTGGCTGAGTCACTCTCCGAGCCACTGTCTGACAAACGACCTGGAGTTTGTAGTCTTCTACGCGCATAGCTAAGAGTACATGGCCCCTCCATGTGCTTCCACGTCCTAGGTGATATACTATGACGTCTTCAAGTTTGGAGGGCAACGGCCACCTCGGTAATCATGTCAGTCTGCACAAATACCGATAGCCATTAGCAACTTACACTACTCTGCTAATATGCCAAGCTGGGATCATAGAGAAACCAACGAGATTATACTCGAGATCAAACAGGAACCAAGCAAAGGAACCAAAAAGTTGAATGCGAAGCCTGCATATAATCATGTGACTTACTTCCGTAAAACTTCCGATGCGCAATCGCGCACGGACATCCTGGTAAGTAGCCTCCCGCCTCGTCACTTGCACTAGCTCATACAGTATTTGTCACTGCATGTGTATCCCGTCGCAGCATCTGTTGGATAATCCTCGTGGATATCGAAGACCGTGCCAACTCTACATGCCAGGATCTGTACAGTTTGTATTTACCAACTTGCTAATGGTTGCATCGCTATACAGGACTGATGCGTGCAGCCGGCCAAAGCGGCGTCCAGGAGCCGAGGCTCATGGCCAGTCTATACTGTCTCTGAAACTTCTCCGCTGCAATAATCTACACGATCTGCTGCTGGCTATGGCTGGACTGGGGCTTACCATTTGCTCACTGTCCGGGGATTATGCGGGTACCAATTACCATGCGACTCTTGAACGCGCCTTCATTAAGAGAGACGGCAGAACCGCGGAAATCGCAGCTTCCGGTAGCCTTGTGATCATCCCCGTGAGTCGGTTCAGAGCGGCCTGCCTACCCTGATCGGTGGCAAATGACATCTCCTTCGCCCCTGGGCAGCATCACGCTGTATATAAGAACAAAGTGAAGTAGCTGTATAGTCGTCTAAGACAGTATCGAAATCCGCACGCAATGGCTTCTCGGTTTGCCACGCTCATCCTGCTCACACTTCCTATTCTTGCGCTCCCATCATCGCAGCTGGCATCGCGAGCATGTCAGACATTTCTTCCCTCCATTTCCCCTGCGTGGCTAAAGTCATCTCGTTCACAGTGTGTGCGACGCCGTCCGTCGTCCCCGGGTACAGTAACAATCGCCTCCCGGACCCATTCCTGTTTGAGGACGGCACCCCCGTACTCACGCTCGAAGACTGGGCTTGCCGCCGCAGCCAGATCGCTGCTATAGTGCAGGGCTACGAGGCTGGATACCTGCCCCCCAGGCCGCCGTTCGTCTCATCGACGTTTTCAGTGGTTAATGGGACGGGTAACTTCACTGTCCAGGTCGTCCTGGACCCCAACCACACGATCTCGTTCGCTCAGCCGATCATGTACCCGTCAGGCGCTGCGCCTGGAGCTGGATGGCCGTTGATTATTGCATACGATGCTCTCAGCATCCCTGTGCCGGACGGTGTGAGTCTACATGCTCTACGAGGCCTCCTTGATCGCACAGCTACTGAAAACCGACTAAGATCGCCGTAATGGTCTACACTAACGACAACATAGCGCAGCAAAACGGCCCTAGTAGTCGTGGCATTGGCTTGTTCTATGATCTCTACGGCGCGAACGCGACCGCTTCCGCGATGACGGCCTGGGTCTGGGGCGTCAGCCGCATTATCGACGCGCTTGAAATCACGCCAGAGGCCAATATAAACACGGCGAAGATAGCCGTCACCGGCTGCTCGCGCGACGGCAAGGGTTCACTCATGGCAGGCGCGTTCGAGCCACGTATCGCGCTGACGATCCCGCAAGAATCCGGCTCCGGCGGCGACACTTTCTGGCGGCTGTCCAAATAACAGCAGGATAGTGGCGACATAGTGCAGCAGGCAACTGAGATTGTGACGGAGAACGTCTGGTTCTCCGTCAATTTTGACAACTACGTATACAACATCAGCGAGCTGCCGTACGACCACCATGAACTCGCGGCCATGGTCGCCCCGCGCCCCATGATCTCGTACGAGAACACAGAGTTGGAGTGGCTGAGCCCACTGAGTGGCTTCGGTTGTATGACTGCCGCGCATACGGTATATGAGGCTCTCGGCATCGCAGAGCACCATGGCTTCGTCCAGGTCGGGAACCACAGCCACTGCTATTTCCCCGATACACTGAACGCGTCGCTGTTCGCCTTCTTCGAGAAGTTCTTGCTAGACGAGGAGGACGTCAGCACGGACTACTTCTATACTAATTACATGTTCAACGGCACAGTGTGGGATCCTAGCCACTGGATCAACTGGACTATTCCTCAACTTCACTGATCAGGCTGCCTCTGGCCAGTAAGTTGAGAGCACCTCGATGGAGAAGGCCGCTGATATCATAACAAATTGACAGTCCCAGCGGATGGGCGTTGTTGCCGCTCACGCGACGGGCTGTGTTGATCAGGGCGAACGTTATGCGACACTGTCATAACAATATGCGTTAATGCACAAAGCACGCAGCCGCGCAGTATTCAGTGATTATCCCAGTAGCGCGCGCATATCTATCAGCAGCTACAAATTTCGCAGGAGCGCGCATAGCACATGAGTGCCGCATATGGGCGTTGTCGTGGCTGTCTGCCTAAGTACGCAGCAGCAGGAAACATAAAGTAAGCCTTTTTGTTCGTATCAAACCTCTCGATCAACAACCGAGGCACAACGAGATCCCCAGCACGAGCACGCCGAATTATGGGTTCAAGAATCGACTCGTATATTTCTCGAGCGTCACGTTGCCTTACTTCCTCTTCTTGTTGATCGGAGTACTCAACTATCAGAGTATGCAATGGGTGGTGCCATCATTCAGAAGAATTGGTTTATACATACGTAACTAATCCGTAGCTGTGAAAAGGTGCCATACTTGCCGTGTGCGCTAAGGTAGTATCAGATGTTCTGACCCAACGTAAAGCCACAGATACGCTTCGCTGGCGTATCTAGCATTTGCACTAGCCGTTGTTTCTAACTTCCTGAGTCGTTCTCTGGCTCGCTTCGTTCCGTATCTCGAGCTTCCTCGAAATACCCTATGCACGACATCACCCACAGCTCAGGTAACTGGTAGCAGTGCGTGTCCGGGTGCACACTATTGAGAGCATACCATGGACAAATACCATCTTCCAGCGTCGCTTCTTCTGTGCCCCAGCTTAGCGCCCATTTGCGGTACGGTCATCTCCTGCCAAAATGTTGCCATTGACACCGAAGTGGTCCCTTAACGGACATTATTGTCGCACCTGGGCATAGGACACATGGGTGTGATGGTACGTGACCGGCTTTCTTCCTTACGCACTCACGCTCACGGTTCACCTGTTCCGCGGGCCGGCAGGTGCGGTCACCAAGTTACCTTTCAGAAGGCGTAGTGCTTTTGAAATTCCCTTCCTGTTGGATCACACAACTCGGTACCGTGTCGTCAGGTCTACAGCAAACGGACCGGAGACAAGCTCATTGGACCGGACTAGCTGGAAACCGGAAGAGAAGCTGCGCAACCATGTGTGTTCCTGGTCCGCTGAGACTATTGAGCGACCATCGTCCTCTGAATAACCAACCCTTCTCGGGCCGTGAATCACACTGTAACACGAGGATGTTCGAGCTCTGCTTCGGGTTTCTCTCGCTGGCGGTAACCGGTCTCATCTCTGCATGTATATAACAACAGGGGCACCATGGCAGAGTACTTTGATGGTCAGCGTGACTCGTGTAAGCCATGTTGCGAATTGCTTTTTGCATACTCCTCGCGCCTTTTGCATCGGCACAGTTGTCTGGCTCCGTGGGTCCCACGACGCCGCTCTCTGACAAGTCTACACTGTGCAACATCCTCGACTATGGAGGCAACATCGGTTCGAGCGACATCGGTCCGGCAATCCAGAAAGCGTTCGACGTGGGCACCCTTGTGTCTGTTCTCATCTATGATGCTTATTTCTCTTCGCAACATGTAGGACTGCGTGCTGACGAATTCGAGCCCTTCCACTCTTTATGTCCCAGCTGGTATGCTATTTCATGGACTAGGCAGCCGCGTCCCTAATTTGATCCGCATCCTTGCAGGTGACTACGACATGCAAACATGGGTCACGCTCACAGGCGGATCATCTTGGGCGTTCAGGCTTGATGGCTTGATCACTCGTACCGGTAGGCTTCTCTGTTGAATATGAACTTCAATGCTGACATGTACTACTTCTACAGCGACGACAGGAGGGAACATGATAGCAGTAGAAAATGCCTACGACTTTGAATTTTATTCCAAGAACTCCGCAGGCGGTATCCAAGGTGCTGGGTACCAGTGTCGGAACGACGGGTAAGCGTCTCCGTGCGTTTGCCATATGGTCGTCGCTCACTACGACTTTAGGCCCCGCTTGATCCGTATGGTGACTTCGGAGCGGTGGTCGCTCCATGACCTCATACTGGTCGACTGTGAGAACTTGGTCTACGGTGCGGTCTAATGCTGACCGGCTCTAGCTCCTGAATTCCACCTCGTCATCCAGCAGGGCTCCGGCGGGGAAGTCTACAACCTTGCTATTAGGTCTGTCCTCAACACCTGGGCTACTATAGAACTCATATGACTTCTAGAGGTGCCGATATCGGTGGCTCAGATGGCGTCGACGTCTGGGGCGAGAACTACTGGATTCACGATGTTGAGGTGACTAACCGCGACGAGTGCGTGACTGTCAAGGTGTGTTCTGCGCGTGCATGTTAGGAAAGATCAAATGGTGACTGCGTGTAGTCGCCGGCATCCAACATACTTGTCGAGCGCAGTACGAATATCATACTACTTCTGGTATTTTCATACTCAAAGTTTCTCTGTTTTTTTAAGTTTGGTGCAACCAATCCGGTGGAAGTGCCATGGGCAGTCTGGGTGCCAACACCTCCATTGCGAACATCTTGTACCAGTGAGTATCTCTTGTATTCTGCAAGTACATATTCCCTCTGTGTTTACATTTCCGTGGGGCGTGAGGAACGTCTACACTGTCGGTGGTAATCAAGCATACATGATCAAGAGCAACGGCGGGTCCGGAACCGTCAAGGACGTCGTCTTCCAGGACTTCATCTCGCGGGATACAGCGTATGGCCTCAATGTCAACCAATATTGGGCGTCCGAATCAACGCAGCCTGGAGACGGCATTCAACTGTACAACATCACGTTCAAGGTTTGCGTCGTACACACCTCTCAAGATTGAGTAACCTCAATCTAGATTATAGAACTGGGACGGCAATGTCGCAGACGGTGTACAACGCTCTCCCATCCAGATTCTCTGTGCAGATGGCGCCCCGTGCTATGACATCAACCTTGACGACGTCTATATGTGGTCATTGACTGACGAAGCCACCTGGAAGTGTGAGTCGGCTTATGGGACCGGAGCCTGCCTCAAGTCCGGCTCAAGCCACAAAAGCTACGCTGTGGAAACGACTACCTACACGCAGCCAAGTGGTTACACTACGCCCACGACGATGAGCGGCGACTTGACTGCCGGTTTTGGGAGCACAACGCTTATTCCTACGCCGTGAGTCTGACTACATCCTCCACATCTGCATACAGGTGCACTGAACGGCGTTGGTATAGGACCATCCCAACCATGTTCTATCCTGGTCTGCCGCAAATATCCCCACTCATGAAGAACAAGTAAGACTCTCCACCATAGGATTCCGATCTGGCTCCCTAGTCATCATGATGTACTTGGTCAGTTTGTTCCCGGCGAATGAAGTATCTTTGTGATTCTTATGTTTACTACTTGCGTTCCAACATGCAATAGGTAAAAGTAGGGCCTGTAAATGACCTGAACTGCTTACGGCCTAGTGAGCCGACGTGATAGGATTCGTGACAACACTGATGCTGCCGTTGTGAAAGTCATACAGGTCGCTCAATTGTGTTTGGACGGACAATACAAGAGTGATGTACTGTCCAATTGTCAATGATGTATGGTGAATTGTCTGTGATGAATACTCCTCGACAATGATAGTTCTGGCCGCCCAGTGGTCATAACACTTCATCGAGTTAAACGTAATCACCCATACCATTTTTACTGATGAATGTTCTGCTCCGCCTCGTCGACAGCACATGTGACGGTCAACATATCAACAACATCTGATAGTTCGGGAGGAATGACCCATTCTCGCCAGGTCGTCAGTTCGCAAGACGCCAACCGCCGGCCATCTCTCGCGCGCGTCGCAAGGCAGGCTGTCACAACAGGGAGGAGGTCGAAGCCATCTCGGTGGAATGTGATTGTAACAGACTGAAGGGAAGGGCAGGGAACAGCCGGCTCGGGGATTGAGGGATCTAAGCAAATGGAAGGATCACTCGAAGCGGTCGTCCCGAGCGCTAGGAACAGAGGTCGCATGGAACAGTTTGCATCTCGGACCGTGATGGATGTTAGGCGTGAACTCTTGCTTAAGATGTACACCCATTCTTCGCTGTCAAGTTCGACCTGTGAACCAGACAGCCTGATGTCGAGATGTTTGAGCGAGGGGAAAGCTATAGCGCCGAACGGCGTGTGGGCTAGCGCGGGGCGCCTCCGATGTATGTCGGCTTGAGTTACTTGAATATCGAAAAGCTTTTCAAGGGTAGACGCATGCATATACGGAAACCGGCCCACCACTTCCGTGCTTAGAGTAAGTGCCTCGATTTGTGAGGCGATGTCGCTTACAGAGCTACAATTATACAAGGTGTCCACAGATCGCAGATGGCAGGCATAGTGGAGGCGGATCTGTGTGGAATTGGGGAAAGAAAGACGTTCTAAGAACCGCAGACTGCGCGGAGTGCCATGAACCGCTTCGACGGATAGCTTGCGCAACGAAGAAAGCACTGCTACCGAAGGCGGCGACTGCGTGCGCTGATACAAAAAGTTGTGGAAGGCGTGCAGTCTGAGGTAGCGCAGACCCGTGCATTCCTGTAGGGTACGCATGACGTCCTCTACACTGACCTTGAGATGTGCGAGAACGAGGTCGACGAGTGTCCTGGCTGGCAGCTGCAAGCGTGGAAGGCCGACAAGGGCAACGGTCGTCAGTAGTGGATAATGACCGGCGAAGACCGACGAGACCTCTGGTTCGTGCGAAACCGCTATAACCGAAAATACGAGCGTTCGAAGCCGTGGCGCCGGGGACACCAGCATGGGAGTGATCATGTTCGCGACGGCCGGTGGAACTGCCATTGCGATGAATGTGGCTAGGCGCCGCGTATGTCCAGCTACGGCTTGTATAGATCGCGCTAGATCACGCTGTAAGTCGGGTGAGTCATCGAAGGACTTGCACGAGAACTTGATATGAATGGGGGCGTCGCACGACCTGCTCAAGAATTCGGTAGCAACAGTAGGACGTATCATCACTGCGTCGTTCAAGGACGTCCAGACTGTGGGTGATCCACGCACGAACGCGCTCCAGCGATAGCAGACGTGAGATAACACGATGGGCGCAAGCCAGGCGCTACGCTCTTGGTTCTGAGTACTTGTAGATACGTCGACGCTGGCCAGTAGCTGAAAGATGCACAGAAGAACATCGTGCTGGATACGTAGAATAGGCCCCTGCACTGATAAACTAGAACCAGTGTCAGGATCTGAATATAAGAGGAAACTCAATAAAACTAACGGCACAATTCTTCGCCTATGAGGTAACGGTCGCAGGTTGTACATGGTGAGGAGCCTGAGTGGAAAGACAGACCGGAAGAGCCCATTGCAAGATAAATGCAAAACGGACCGATATTCGCATCCTTTCCAGGCATAACAATAAGAAGGGTCTTCATTGGAACTTGGTCGGGTGACCATGAAAGCAAACGCATCTGAAAAATGTATATACCAAATAGGGTATTCACATAGCGCCCGACGGCGCGGCATGTTTTAATGATACTCCCACCGAGCCTCATGCGTCCCACATACTCATCAAATAACTCTTTGCCATTGATATGTTGGTTTTATATTAGAAATCAGTAATGCCTACCTGAACCGTCAAGTTTGGGCACTCACTGACTGCTCCCGGTCAAAATTGAAGCGAAATATCACACGCTACAGTCAGTTCAACAATCTACGGCAACAATCGCCTAGCATTGTTGCACTTTTAGCATAGTCTTATCGACCGCCTTGAAACAACAGGGTAAGATGCCTATTAACTACTTAGATCATATTACTTATCAGAAATGATTTCACAAATCTAATCATCGTTTCTACTGATCAGCAAGCAGCAAATTTCACCTCGTTGCGCAGATTCGAGCCAACGGATCAGTATTGCGGTATAAAGGTTGTCGACATTATATCCCGACTTGTACATCAGCCGCCTAATCCAGCGCATTCAGTTCGATAACTCATCGTTTGCGCGTACATTCTCGAGGTAGCGTGAAGCAAACGCGGATCCAACTCGCACGCCATAGTAGAGAACATCAATGTCATGATCATTCAGCTTCAGTTCATAGATGGCAACCTGCCATTCCAGATTATCTTAGAAAGGAAAGAATAAACTCGCATGGTGTTCAGTGACTGCCGCGCTCAGGTGCATAGTTAGGCTTCGGTGGATGTGAGCCTGGAGCTAAGAGTCAGGGCACGTATGAGCACGATGTTCAGGCGTCACGGGTCTCGACCGCCAGTATCAATGCATGAATCTCAAGGATGCAGTGAGTAACGATCACGTCAACCACGACCCATATGATGTTCGGGCAGAAGAGCCCCAACGGGTTCCGTCCTTGTGAACATTCCGACCCAGCCACAATGCACAATGTATACCATCAGATGAAAACCACATCAGCTGCGGCTCAGATGACAATAATCTCCACGTCCTGCAGTTTGTGGGATGGGAAACTATGACTATTCGCCTGATTTCGGGGATCACAGGCTCGGAGAAGCCGGGTGTAAAGGTAATCCTCGCACTTCCTGTATAACGGAAGGAAGAAGTAGCTAAGCGACACTGTGCCTTACGGAGCAGTAGGCAGACCCCAAGTGCGCACCTGGCTCAGGATTTAAAGCCATTGAACGGACCGCGAACATACCGAGAGATTCCGGGGGAAGCTTGCTCCTTGATTGGCGGCAGTCACGCTACCGACATGAGGGGTCCGGCGACTGCCAGGTAAAGTACAATACTCACCTCAAGCCGCACCCGTAAAGTCGAAATGCATTCAATCCATGGGCATAGTGTCACCCGGTGACGCTGCAGAGCGTGAGAGAGGAGCGATGTTGCCGCATGCCATGTCCGTGTCGAGGGCGCCCTTCCCACGGCTATTTGCATTGCTATCTCTGATGTCATCGTCTTTGAATTTGAAGGACAGTAATACTCTCAAATCTCGGCCGTCAGCGCGTCAGCATCGGGGGATCTGCCAGTACAAAATGCAATTCGGCAATGTCACCGCATGCTTAGCATAGATGCCTCGCGACGCGGCCCGGGTGTGGCAGTCAGCGCAACGGTGTTGAGACGAGAACTTCGGTCCCGAGACTTGCCAGCAGCTTGTGGTGGAAATGTCAATTGGAATATGAAGCCTGCGAGCACAGGTACGTGAGTGATCTCTATTGCGTAAGCCCCATGGTGTTCGCGTCGTGCCGTCGGTGCTTCATCGGCTTCCGTATCGAACCTCACGCCCTTCTCACCTTCACAATGTTTGGCCTACTAGGGTATTCCAAGTGCGAAGGCATTTCGTGTGTTCAGGCACCGGTGCTTTTCGGTGTTTGTTCTCCAACCGCCATAGGAACAGAAATCCAGTCAGCGCGGGCATCAAGCTCAAGCACGACAGAAGCTTTGCATGGCTCGCGTGATCTTCTGCGCCAGCAAAAGACAGCCTAGACTTCGGACGGCAGGCCGGGTATGAAGGAGATAGCTGCGATATTTGTGGACCCATTGATCGAGTTGTAGCTGCCTTCACAGATAGAGATAGAAACGGTGCGCAACTCTTCTCGATCGGAGGACGGTGTAATCGCATCAGAGATAACGGTGTCTCGCAGGTTCCCGGGGTCCCGCCATTCACTTGCGTGACTGACGCGCAAGCTCGCGTGAGACATCATTCGGGTTGTCCTGTCTCCTCGCCTCGCACAGAGGTAGCATCCATATGGCTCTGTGTGTTCTGTATTTGGACCAGACACAGAAGTATGCGTCAGCCAGTGTTCCATCTATAAATTGATATATATTGAGCAGATGGTACCCACAATGATAAGACTTGTCTCGTGACGCTGTAAAAGCTCGCCAAGACAGGGAAAGGAAGTGCCGGAAGGTATTTCTGAACGAGTGCAATGATCGAGCAGGTGGCGTTCTCGACGATAAGGCGTTTCGCATGCTGCGCTGCGGGTTTGCCGAGGCAGATGGTCAGTAGCTGGAAGCAACGTACGGAATGGAGCAAGTCGACTTTCTCGAAGACAACCGCCGGCCTGGATCCGCGGCATGCGCTACCACTCGCAATTGCAACCACACAGTCCGACCATGTGGGCTGTAGGCCGTTGCCCCTTGTCGGTTCCCACCAAACCGGAAGGCATATGGCGCAACGCACGCTCCCGCACCGGTGAGATGGACCATGCGCGAGTATAAAGGTCGAAGAGGAATGGCATCAGTCTTCCAGGTTCCTCTCGGTCTCATAGCCCTTTCGAGCCCAAACACCCTTGCCTCTCATCGCAACAATGCTCTCCGCCGGTCTCCTCAGCTGCATCCTCCTCGCCGCCTCCGCCGTAGCCCGTCCTTCTGGCTTGGCCGGTCGCATTGCGCGTCGTCGCGCTGGCTCCCACCTCTCGCAGCCTCTTCAGCGTTCGGAGCTCATCAGCGACCAGAGTAACGTGGAGTACAGCTCTAACTGGGCTGGTGCCGTCTACGCCGAGGGCGATGTTCGTAGCACAAATGATACTCACCGCACCACACGATGCTCAAATTCTGCTACAGGGTACTTACACTGCCGTGACCGGAACATTCGTCGTCCCCACCCCGAGCGCACCCAGCGGCGGCTCTGGCACCTACTCTGCCGCCGCCTGGGTTGGCATTGACGGCGACACCTGCGATAACGCGATCCTGCAGACAGGTGTGGACTTCACCGTTGACGGCGGCGAGGTGTCCTATGACGGTGAGTTCGCGTCTCTATAAGCCTGAGTCCTCGTTCATCTTGCATTCCGATAGCCTGGTACGAATGGTACCCTGACTACGCTTATGACTTCTCCGGGATCAGCATCAGCGCTGGCGACACGATCAAGACGACTGTCACCGCGACGAGCACGACTAGCGGCACGGCCGTCATCGAGAACGTCTCGACTGGCCAGACCGTGACACAGAGCCTCACCTCCTCCTACGCCCTCTGCGAGGAGAACGCCGAGTGGATCGTCGAGGACTATGAGGAGAATGGGGGGCTTGTCTCGTTCGCCGACTTTGGCACCGTCACGTTCACCGACGCCGTGGCAACCACCAGCTCCGGCACCCAGGGCCCGTCTGGCGCGACACTCATCGACATCGAGCAGAACGGTAATGTGCTCACCTCCGCGTCTGTCTCCTCGTCCGAGGTCGTCGTTAAGTACACTTGAGTGCGGTATGGAGGATTGACTCGAGCGGGATGAGCGTACACGAGACTGAAAGACTGCTATTATGATGACTGCAACGGTTTGACGTTCTGGGTTGTACGTGAATTGTTCTCTCATGTAAAATGGTGTAAAGGGGTCATGGGTAGAAATGTATTGCTAGACGTACCGTGTGCCATCATGCACCTCACGTTTTCAAGATCGAGGCGCAAACGAGAGACGCGAAGGCCTGGCAGCGCCACTTAAACTTGGGTGGCCTGCGGATGTGGGATCCAATGGGCTAGTAAAATCCTCCTGCAAATCGGGCGGATATATCCACGATCGATGGCTAGTCTTCATACTCTGTCCTATGCAAGCAATTCGTACCCTTAAGTAGTGCATCTTGCACGAAGATACTAGAAGACACAAAGGGGTACATGAAAGTCTTCGTGAGTGCGCGTTCATCGCATGGGATCAGAGTTTCTCACCCATATAAGGAATGGAAACAAGCGTAAACACGATACTCATCTGCCTATAGCAGCAGCAGCCAGGACACCTTTGAAGAATATAAAGGTGGAAAATGTAGACATCCCTTCAGATGACTCGTGCTCGAAGACTACACTCGGGCTGAAGGTCGAAACACCGTCAGCCTTTTTCCTACTGTGGTTAAGGAGCCCTGCGTCTGCAGAAAGGACGCATCCTCGCTGACTCTGAAAACAAAGAATGCCATCGACTGACATCACTTCCCTCTTTGGCCCGAAGCTACAGTGAGGAAGTACGTCAGTCGTCGCAATGGTAAAACGTAATCATACGCACTAGCTAGCCGCTCTCGATTACAATATTACAATAGAGAATTGGGATACCGATGCGTCGCCGTTTGTTTACTAAGTACTGTGGGCATTGAAGGCCTGCCAGCATGGTCGGTCTACAGCAGACAAGGATGCTAATTGGGTGTCTATGCCGCGTGCCAATCCAGAGACTAGGACACCCTCAGTCATGGTCCTGACTGAAGCAAGCGGTGGTGGGTTGAGGTCAGTTGAAGTATATGCGTACCGTCTGATGTTAAAAACGTTGTGTCGCTTGTGCAACGCATCTACAACTTATGGCTATATGCGCGAGTGAGATGGCGGGAGATGGCGAGACGCGAAGCTTGGGATAAGTAGAGACAAAGTACTAGTTACTTGATAGAAGATATTGAATGTCGGTATACGTAGTACAGAACCTGAGACCGACCTGCATTCCCTTTCAGCCTCTGGTCTGCTTCCTTTTCAGAAAAAAACAGGCATAATGCCTCAGTAGATGTGTTGAAATTTGATGTATACATCAATGGAAGGGCGCGCAGCGTCGTAAGCGGTTATATGTGCACGCTGAGGAAGAGGCCGAAAAGGTTAGACTTGATGGCGCTTGTCGCGACAAAGACGCGGCACATGATCGCGTTTGTCGCGCCAGGATTGCCGCCTGCTGCAGGATGTAGGCTAAACACTGAACGGCCGCCGTCATAGTATGGACATCGCAGAATTTCATGCAAAGGTGCTCGTAGCCTCAATTTTCATTGTTTCAGCATGCAGCGACTCATACAATACTTGCGCTACAGGTATACCATGTCGTCCGGCAGATTCCCCCACAGCATGTTACATCGTACGGTGGGTGATACCCCAGTCCCTATCCGTGAGAGTAATGAACGTTGAATGTAAAAAAACGCTTTTGGTTTTCGTCTCTCAGGTCACATTGCTAAACTCATAGGCATGCCGAATTACTCCCGCCATGTAGGCCAAGGTACGCCGTTATAAGTATTCTGTGTAAGTATAGGTCTATGTCCTAAGCTTGACGCGATGCACGCTCAGCACTCAAGTTCCTTCCTGCGAATGTGAATCCTCCTATTCCTTGGCAGCGTGTCATCTCCTCCTCAGGAATCATCTCATCGCGCGGTCCCGGGACAAGTGGTGCCGACGTTCAACGGCACGCACTGGAGGCCGAAGGCGTCGAGGTGACCGTCACACGCGGAGGCGAAATACGTGTAGATCTTCGCCAATACGGGTGGTTTCCTGCGGTCGGGACTGTTGATTTGGGTGATGAAGACAACGACCAAGATCTGGGTGATGAAGACAGCGACCAAGGTCACGTAGATGAAGGAAACGAAGCTGCCGAAGCCTGAGGTCCAGATGTACAGGTTCAAAGACTGGTGCAATGCTATCACAATCCTGGACACCAAACGAGGCCCCGCAGAACTCGATAAAATTTCAGTGCGCTATGAATGGTGCCACGCACTCCTGGTCAGGTGCAACAGAATGCTATCTAGGATGCGCGCCATGGATACTGTACTGAAACATTTTAGTAGGAACATAAGCAGAGGTCGTTAATAGTCGAGCTAATAGAATCGGTGCTCGGACCCAACAGTGAGGGATTTGGTATAAGCAACCTTTACTATCAGATACGGGGTTTTGCAAACTCATGCATTGTCCCCTTCGCTCTGCTTGAACCACCACAAGGATCGTTGTTATTTCACTCAGGCATTGTTGTAAATACATGGAGGAGTACCCATAATGAAGCTGGTGCCCATACACGAAGGACAGCCAGTGTCACGAGTTGGTACGGCGTCTAGCCGTTTTTTAATTTTTCCTTTTCGCGGGCTCGAACCCGCGACCTCTGTACCACATGCCCGATATGGACGTGTCGTTATCTACTGTACGATTAGATTAGATGGGGCGGCAGTGCACGGCACAGCTCGGGCTCCGCTGACACAGCCACTCTGACTCACCGGCCCCCGGGGCTGCGTCAGCATGCTGTGCACGGACCAGCTGCGCACAGACCAGTGCGCACAGCCTGCCCTCATCTTCCCCTGTATATAAGCCGGCCTCTGCTGCCCTAGGGACCTCAGTTTCGACCTCTTGTCCCTAGGTCAGTAAGCCCTCCCTTGTATCCTTTCTTACTTCACTCACTAATATATTATCTTGTCCCTAGCCTTAGGTTTGAGCGCTGCTCACCATCGCTTCGGTGAGACCCAGTCGAACGCCCCCAGCTTTCTAGGTTTTCCCTGTCGCTTGACCTCAAGTCACGACAGCCAGTGGTAGTGAGATGCTGCATTTGAGGCCTCGCATTGCAGTAGTTCTGCAAATTCTATCACGCCTAGGTCACAGTGGCAAATATAAACTCCGCTCAGCAGACATTGCAGAACTGCAAAGTGTGCTGCTGCATCGTGCCATGATTGAGCGCAGGGTGTGAACATATCATGCTGACAGTGGCAAATGTCATGCTTGCTGTCGCGACTTGAGGTCAAGCGACAGGGGAAAACCAAACAAGGACGCTGGGGGCGTTCGACTGGGTCTCACTGAAGCGATGGTGAGCAGCGCTCAAACCTAAGGCTAGGGACAAGATAATATATTAGTTAAGTAAGAAAGGAATACAAAGGGATGCTTACTGACCTAGGAACAAGAGGTCGAAACTGAGGTCCCTAGGGCAGCAGAGGCCGGCTTATATACAGGGGAAGATAAGGGCAGGCTGTGCGCACTGGTCCGTGCGCAGCTGGTCCGTGCACAGCATGCTGACGCAGCCCCGGGGGCCGGTGAGTCAGAGCGGCTGTGTCAGCGGGGCCCGAGCTGTGCCACGCACTGCTGCCCATCTAATCTGATCATACAGTAGATAAGGAAATGTCCGTTTCAGGCGTATAGTACAGAGGTTGCGGGTTCGAGCCTGCGAAAGGGAAAAAATTAAAAAGACAGCTAGGCACCGTGTCAACTCGTGACACTTGCTCTACCAGAACAACCATCGCCCACCAGCCATGTCTTTAAGGGTGAATCGGGCTGGTGTACCAGAACACACAAAGCTGTAATATAATGGATCGGATGTCTGATTGTCAAGAAATACAATGAGTGTCTCTGGATCTCGCTCATCACATGTTTGCAGAACATCTTAAGAACAGTCTGCAGGCTGTCATTTCACTTCACCTTCATTTCCTCTCAATCACTCTTGCACATAGCGTATACTAGGTGATACAACGGTCTATACTCCTATATCGATGCCTGACTCATAGACGACGAGTGAGGGCTTATGGACAGTACATCGTCCTGAAGATCGAGCGAGGAAGTCGAGAATGACCACTACCCCAAGCGAGGAGGAGCAGAGACTTGAATGAATAACCAGGTCGAACTTAGGGTTCAACTGACTAATGGTACAGCTAGTTATACAAGTACCGGCTATGCACGGACCACTGTATCTGTGTGGTCGTGTTAGTAAAGAAGGAAACATAGTGGTATGATACCAGGCACAAAGTGCGCATGGACCCCATTATGTAAGCTACATAATGTTCAACCCGCGGGTGAGCACTAAGACGGGCACCAGTATGGGCGCTAGTAGTACAAGAAATAGAATGGAAAGATAAATGTTTCACTAGGTGCCTACTAGCATCTACAACAATCAAAATTAAATTTTCATGGTGTGCAGTGGAGATCATGCAGTTCTGCAAAATTGATGGGTTTTGCAAAACCCCGTATCTAATAGTAGATTAACGTAGGACACGCAAACCTTATTCGAGAATGGTTACGTGACTGATGCGCGACGCGGTGGCTGAGTACCCAATGGCCGTTTCAGACATGCTCCAGCTCGTAGGACCATGGAATTCAATGTTTTCACAGAGGGAATCAAATAAACACATATAAATATGTTTCCCCAAATATTTGGAGATTTTTAAGGGCCCTAGAAGGGCTTGAATTGAGCCCAGTGCATGTTGTTGAGACTAAGCGTGCTGCATAGTGGCTTGTTCCGTGTGTCCCATGAAGGATCTTGCAACTTATTTCTTCATGGGACATGCAAAATTTGGTGGTGGCGCCTATTTTCCTTGCTGGGGAGCGTGTCCCAGCAAGAATTTTGCCTTAGAGCTTCATGGGACACGCAGGATTGCTTAAGGGATGTTTTTCCCATGATCTCGCATAACAGCAGTGGTGGCGGCCATCAGACAGCACTCACCGCATCCCCACAACTCGCCTGAGCTGCTGGGAGGCCCTCCCAGGCCTTCAGGCATCAGCCGCACTGTCCAAAGGCCCCTGCTCGCCATCCAATGTGTCGCCACTGCCCTTATGCCCCACCCTCGTCACGTGCGTGTCCCAGGACACACTGACATAATGATATTCCCTTATCAGGCAGTCACACCCATCTCTCGTAACAGAAAAGCGCAATGCATAAGACTAGCCAGATGTTACAAAGTTGCGTGTAATGTCACTAGTTTTCACCTCAAATGAATTTGAGATCCCCTTACTCGGTAGAGCAAGGCTATATCCGTCAAAAATGTCACTCATCTATCCGACAAATGTTTGTAGCTATTGCTCATTGTTTGTTTGCGGTGGCACCGGTTTTGCGTGTAGCTTATTTTGTTCTTTTCAAACTTGTGACTCTATGTACACTGCATGCAGTATTCAATTTCCTGGTGCAAGAAATCAAATAAAAATTGAAAGAAAAGTTAATTTACCTAATCAGTATTCTGGCACCTAATATGGAAGTGAAATCGAAGGAAAATCGATTATGTAATCAATTTTCCATTGTCTCTTTCAATTTTCCTTCAATTTTTCTTCAATTTGCATTCAATTTCTACATTAGTAAGATTCAATAGGTGCCATTTGCTCTTAATTCAAGTTTGATTCAATATTTTGTGCAAGAAAATTGACTCCTGCATGCAGTGTGTAGCTTACAGTCTGTGCATTGGTCAACAGAATACACTTGCATATTCTTTTCATTGTCAGAGGATTATTTGCAAGCAAGGTTGCGCTGACACCCCTGGCAGCACTTCGAGCTCATACAAGGAATACTTACTGCTAGGGGCAAATACAAGTAAACAACGGATGCTCAGCGCTGAGGTAACAGGCTGAGGACTCACTGGTCAAACGTGGTGGACCTGAACAGACCTGAACTCCACTGAACTCTGTTGTTCGTTAGTATATATTGCAACAAGTATAAACTGCTGCATATTGTCTAACGGAGAGGCTCGGCAGGCTTGGCAGGCGCAACTGCTGTCGAACATCATACCTGAAAAGGCTGTGGCCGGCGTCCCACCGCAGAGAATACTGTGACATCTCAGCCTGAACACCGAGCCAGAGACATCACGCGCATGAAGACGAATAATCCCGTCTCGTTGACAGGCTGCCGATGATCTGTCTCTTCAATAGACGATGATATTAAATGAAGGTCATTGTTGAAACTCCACTCCATCACCAAACACATATAAGCCGCCACCAACAACACCTCCCTACACCCCGTCTCGCTCTCTCGCTCTCTTTCCTGGAAGCTTGATCATGAGATTCTGGCGCATACGCAGATGGTTGGTGATGTCTCCTTCCGACCAACTTTCGCTACTGATCGTTATTCCAGTACGCCTGTCCAGGCACCAGCTGCAAGTCCAAGTTCAACCTTGCTAGTGGAGGATGTGTTGGTGCCAGCTTCAAGTCCAGGTCCAATCTTGGTGGATGATGTCTTGTTGTATATCTTCCGCTATGTTCTACCACCGGAAGTCCCCGACGAACTGGAAGTCGTATACCGGCCGGCAACGATTGTCTTGTCACACGTATGCCACTACTGGCGCCACCTCGTCAACACATCGCCCACGCTATGGTCTGTGCTCAGTCACCCTATAATCATGCGACCCACCGTCCTCCTGGAGTTCTTGGATCGGTCGCTCAACGCGGATTTATGCGTACATCTGTCGGGCAAAGCTGTTGACATGGCATCCGAGGATACTGTCGACAGATTGTCCCAAAGCTTCCAACTTATCTCGATGCACACACACCGTCTGAGGACATTCATCGCTCTCGAGCTATCCCCGAATTTGACAGCAATAGTTGCAGCGGGACTAGCGTCTCGTGCGCCTTTCTTGAAACTCCTACACATAACCTCGCAAGGAACCGTAGGCTCGCAATTATTTGGAGACCAAATGCCTCGTTTGCAGGACGCATCCATCGCCAGGATGCCGATCCTTTTGTTGCAACTGAGAGGCCTGACTTCGCTGTCCGTGGCGCAATCAATGCTCATGGAGCAGGATATTATGCTGGTCGCGCGCAACTGCCCAGACTTACAGCGGCTCGTTTGCACCATCGACGAGGACGTGCTGAGTACGGTATCGGACGCCATGGCGAGTTCGACTGTGGCTCTGAACTCTCTTCGTGTCCTCGTCCTCTGGACCAAGTCGCCTCACGGTCTGCGGTTCCTATCGCGTCTGTCTTTCCCAGCATCCACTCACATCATGCTCCACTACAATTCCTATTCACACCAAAATGCTTTCAACCTTGATTGTTCGGCTTCGATGCATACCATCATCTCAGGGATCACCTGCATGTCCGTGTCCGGGGCTCGAAAGCATGCGATTCAGGTAGTGAGCCCTGGTCCTAGTGATATCCAGTTCCGAGTCGCAGTTGAGCGATACGATTGGTGTGCTCTCCAGCGCTCGCCGCACTATACGCCCTTTGATGCCCTTGAGTTCCCTGCACTGGAACAGCTCCACATCCGGTACGCGGGGGCACCGCTTGTGCTCTTGGATGGTGACTGGGCGAAGATCTTGAGCAAGCTTCCAAATCTGACAAGACTCTCGATCGTAGACGCGGACTTCTCGGCGTACAACGTAGCCCTCGCGCTTGGCCACAAACCAATTTGGGGAGGGAGCCATACGAGTCGTAATGTGCCGGTGATATGTCCTCTCCTGCAGTCGATCGTCATCAATATCGAACGCGGCATGGAAAGTGGGCTGCTACCGGGGTTGGCGAGATCGCTTGCGTGACGCGCTCAACGTGGCTACTGCCTGCCGTCGTGCTGCGTCAAATTGTTGCGGACGCAAGTGTGTCCTCCCGAGCTAGCACTCTTCGTCACCAAACTGACCGTGGAACATATCCCGGAGAGGAAGTCCATGCCGACGTCATCGCACTGATTCCCGTTACTCGTACTGCGTCCTACAACCCCTCAGTGCTCTGTGTCTCCTCAGAGTGTTCTGTATCCCCCGTTGTATTCTAGCTGTCTTTCATACACCTATCTCTTGACATGTTGTAATACAATAGTATGTATTTCCTCTGTAGTCGCACATATAGACTCTCATAACCGATATCGCGCACGATGTCCTATTCCGCCAAGTTCTCATAGAGAGAAGGTTATTCAGCGAATACAACAGCTGCGCGTCCCGCCCTCGAGGATTTGTAACCACCGAGCACGCAAGATGCGCACAAATGAGCCCGTCTGTCGCTTTCCTATGCCTTTGTGAAAATGCTCTTCGGCATCATCATGCCAATCTAACCGCCGTCGAGACCGTCAGCAGCCGACCCCACCTCACCAGCTGGACATCCGCACTCACCACATAGTTTGGCATGTCGACCTGCGTGGTGCGCGGGGGTTCAGCCAGGACAACATCGAAGGGGCAGAGAGGACGCGCCACGCACCACCTCGTGCATCCGCAGATCGCCCGCGACGCTGCACAGCATGTACGCGTCGGTCCTGCTCAGGCCGTGCGTCGCGCCCAGGTACGCGATCATGCCGCGCACCGCCGCACGCGTCGCCTCGCGGATATCTGTGCCCGCGGGCTCGTCGTCAGCGGCCGCGCACCCAGATGCGGCGATATGGGGAGTACGCGCTCTCCTGCTCACCAGGATCGACGCCGGTGGTACAATAGCATTCGCCGCCATCCGCAGGGCTACCGGCGGACGGCGTGGTGAAATGCGGTGTCTGGACATACGGCGTGTCCTGCACGACCGTCAGGCGCACCGTGACCTTCATGGGCGTTTCGATCGCCGTGCCTGGCGTGCACAGACGCAGTGAGATGGACGCCGCGTCATGCCCGGCGAGGCGGGGTGACTCACCACAGACCTCTGCGCAACGGGAGTACCAACAACATATACGCACGCGCGACGACGCACTGACCTCCATCGCCCTGCGCGGCATGCCCATCCTACGCGTTCACACGACATCAGTCACGCACGCACGCCGCACCACGACGCCACGCCACGACACGCACCCCGATGGAGAACAGCGCGCCCTCGACCTCCACGGGCAGGAAGAGCGTCGCGCCGGCCGTGACGTGCCTCGTGTCGATGTTCCCGCCGGTCCTGTACGGCGGGATCGTCGAGAACGCCCCGCGCTGCGCCGGCGCGACCCCCATCTCGCCCGCAAACGGCCACAGCGGGACGCGTATCCCGCGCGCCTCATCGAACCACGCGTAGGCCCGCCCCGCCCCGCCCTCCGCGCCCGGAAGCGTCCACAGCTTCAGCGCGGGCGCGGGGAACTCGTCCGCGAGCAGGCCGAAGCCGGGGATGAGCGCGGTCCAGCCCCAGTCTGCCGCGCGCACGTCCAGCACGTCGACGCGGAGCGTGTCGCCAGGGCGTGCGCCCGCGATGTGCACAGGGCCGTTCACCTGGTCCAGGCGTGCAAAGTCGAGGGCCGCGAGCGCCGCGAGGTCCGATGTGGGCGTGAGCTGGCCGTTGGACGCGTCGAGGCAGTCGAAGGAGACGGTGTCCCCGGAGGCGACGTGCAGGACGGGCGGGATGCTGCGAGAGGGGTGAGTGAGCGGCGGACGGGTGACCGAGAGTGCACTTGCCTGTTGTCCCACGCAACGTGGCACTGGGCGCGCTTGACAGCGTGGATGGACATGGTATAGCGCACCCAACGATCTGTGTGGATCTGAATCTGTGCGAGTTAGAATGGCAGGGCGGGGAGGACGTTAGCGCTCTCCTGGAAACTTTCGCGGCTATATATTAGCGTAAGTAGCCTATCCGATAAGCCGAGTCATATCACGGCGGCCCCTGAGCGGCTTATCGTGCCTTGGCCAGTGCAAAGCCCTAACCCTACAATAGGGTGTCGCAGCAGGAGCACCACACACCAGATCGACGAACCGTGCGGGGAGGTAGCTTGCAAAGAAGCAGCAGAGATGCAAGGACACGTTATTCAGGCGTGCGGTCTTTACAGAGATATATGTACTTGAATTCGGACGGCGATGTGTAAGTGCGACTGGAGGAACCACTCTGCCAGAGCGTCGTGGGCGCGAGTACGTGTCCAGAATGGGCTCTGCTGCGGGGTGCAACTCAGGACAGAGCTGCCATGGGAGATGAGATGACTGCACAAGAGGCAATGAATGGCAGGGAACGCGCACAGACCTGCGATCACAGGCGGCACCATGGAAACGGAAGGGCCGCGGGTAGTGAAGCATGCTGCACACTTGAGGTGATCAGGACGAGAAGTCTGGACGACCGGGCATCAGGCGATGCACGAGCAGCGTATGCACGCAAGAGGAGACGCAACAAGACGGGACAGGAGATTATAGGGAATGGCGAGAAGCACACGTGTGGTGTAGAGGGAGGGCAAGGGCTAGATTAAGCGGGACAGGGCCCGCCCATCCACGCGTGGCGTGACAGCAGCATGTCCGTCCATGAGCACGCGTGCTACGGATTGCATTTGGACGAGGCCAAAGTCAGGTCGACATGCCCACACGACGCGTGGAAATGGGCGCACGACCGGACATCTAAATCCACGCATGCAGGCCTGCGCTGTGTGATAGAGCGCGAGGTGACCGGGGCTCGTTCTCCGTCGTGCTCTCGCGCTCGTCCGCGGCAACCACGCCCACCACACGCTCCCGCATACCGCCGGCCGGCGTCTTGGAGGGGCGCCGTCTGGGAGGAGCGTGGATGGCCGGCGTCGTGGTGTCGGGATTCCTGCCGCCATTCTCGAGCAGGGCACAGGGTGATGCCGCGCGCGCAGGGGCCGAGGACGTGCTGTACATGTGCATCGGGCGTTGCACACACGGAGGCCCCCCTGTTTTCGATTCCTCGAGTTAAGACTCCGTACAAGTGGACTGTAGCCGAGCCGCTCATGGCTACTGACAGCGGGCCCCGCGCCCACCACAAGACACGAAGGCCCCTTGACGGCGCTGGAGGAGAGGACGTCTGGCGTGTTGGACTGGCAGGCGGAGCGCATGTTAAGGACCGGGAGCGGGCGGGCGGCGGTGGCAGCGACGGGCTGTGGGATGGCGACGCGGCGCTTTGTGTCCTGTACACGCCTGCTATGCCGCCGTGACGCGCGTCCTAGCGAGGACGCGAGGACAGCGCGTGAGAGGGTGGGACTCTCGAGCGGTGGGACTGACGACTTTGGCGACGCTCCGCTGGGCAGACGTCCCCTCGGCCTCGCCACCAGGGCTGACCGGAGACGGCAGACAGTCGCGGGTGTCGCCCGTAGTGAGAGGGCGCGCTTGGCGAGAGAGCGCGGAGATGGAGATGGGCGCATGACGCGAGTCGCGCGTGCGCCTGCATGTGTTTGCAGCGCGCACTGGGACGCTGGCGAGACGGGCCTGGTGGACGCGAGAGAGCGTGCGCGTCGACGGAGCACGCGCTGACCGGGCCGCGGTGCCTGTGGGGAGGGCGTGACCGTGTGGGACAGGACATTGTCACTGCCAACTGGGGAAGGAGCATCGCGGCGGAGGTGGTTGACGTGTTCGTCGACCAATGGGACGGCGGCTTGCGAGGAGGCCGCGGCGTGCGCCACGGCAGAAGTGACGCGTCGGGAGCGACACGCTTGACGTGGACGTCGCCGGTCGCAGAAGGTGGTTTCCTCTTTGGGACCCTGTCTCGATCGACGGCTCATGGCCTCCTCGCCACTCGTGTATGGTCGGTCCTTTCTGTGCATATCCAACGCCGGCGTCGACGCAGACAAGTCCAGCTTTCCTCTCTCCCTCGAACACCTACCTTTGTCTCACTCCCGGGTGCCGACGAGCGTCCCCAGTGTCGCACGTCCTTGGTAAGTGTTCGTCGATATCGCCTATTCATTTCGAACCTTGTAAGCTCATGCAAGCGCAGGGAACCAGCGCGCGTTCGGTCAAGGCGGTGATCGGCCGGGGCGTCGGTGCCCGGATCAGGGCTAGGACCTCCCTCGAACGTCTGAACGCCGTGAGAGCGTGCGCGTCAACAGAATGACGCATGCGGCGTCGGCGTCGACCAATAGGACGACGCAATGGCGCGCGATCGACTTCCAGGACTGATCTACCCCGCACGCTGTCCGATCTCTGCCCCACAGTGTCATGCGGCGTCATCCAGCATGCCGGCGTCGGTCGCTCTCGCTACAGACGACGTCTATCTACCTGATAGCGACGACGACCGGGGTGCGTTGCGCAAGTGGTACGTCCCACTCTCCGGTGCGTCACGCTCCCTCTCGTGTCTGCCCTTGCATGGCTCACCTACGACAGTCGCCGCCGCGTGACGTGACCGCGCACCTGGCGCGCTCCTTCAACAGCTCTCAGGGAAACACTGTAACAGCCAAGGTCAAAGCGTGCTTCTATTCACGCGTCGCTCCGCCCGCTCGCTCCCGGTCCCCAACGCACGCTCGGCCCGCTGCACGCCGCCTCGCATCGCTGACCGCCTGTCCTCGCCCCTCGGCCCGTTTCGCTTCACAGCCGATGATCGTGTCCCATCTCCCTCTTCCTTTTCTCAGGCCGGTCTCCCGCACACGCACGCCCGCCGTCACCTCAGCTACATCGCAGGTACGTAATGCATTCCATCGCAGTCCCATACATTTCCCCCGCGCACAACAGGAACACCCGTAATTACAGTATCATGAGAGCGGTCACGCGCGACCCTCGTGTCCTCACTACTCACATCGCAGCCCGCTACTCACACGTCGAGACGGCATACCACCCGCGCACAGAACACAATGCGCGCGCGCGCCGCAGACCGCTCTGCGCACACACCAGCCAACGCTGCGCTGCCCGACAAAGCCTCGCATGGGTGCCTCGACGACGGCGTCCTCAGCGTCTCACCCGTCGACAGTCAAGAGCCGACTTGGGGCGTACCTGGCAACGCGGACCCGGCCTGCACGCTGCCTGCACAAGTGCGACGGCCGGTCGACGTGACGCAGCAGAAACGAGTCAGCATGCGAGCACGACATGATGCGAGCAAGACCACCTACCCGCCGGGGAGCCGCGCACAGACGTCCCGCGCTTGCACCTTGCCATCGCGCGGAAGGATCAGCGCCGGACGACGCGCATCAACGGCTGTCGACACACTCACGCGCTGCCTGAGACAAACGGCACGCCCCACTTGACCGCCGTCTTCTGCGGTGGGCATACAAGCGTCGATCGCCGGCAATCAAAGTCTCTGCTGACGCTCGCACCATCTGATCATCCCCGCATCGGCGCATCGCCATCTTGCTCAAGGCGGATCCCTCGCGCATGCATCCCGGTCCAAGCATGTGCCGACTCTGCCCTCGCGTCGCGCCACACGCCGTTCCCCTGCGCGCTCGCATCCTGCCGTCGCACGCACACCGGGCCCCTCTCCTGCCCGGCAGCACTCTCCGCGCCCAGCGCTCCCGCACCGCCGGACGCCCGTCGTCCCAGCTACATGCAAAGCTAAGCTATGTAATAGTCATACATGTTGTATCGTGCGCCCTCACTGTCGTCATCGCCCCCTTTCACCAGCCCCGCGTCACGCCCCTAGAAAAGAAATTCGGCCGGACGGCCGGGAAACAAGCATCAGCAGGCACGCTGCCACACAGCACACCAGGCGGACGCACACACAGCGTCTCCGTGTTCGCGCGAGCACCGCGGCCGGCCGCGAACGCGCTGGCCACGGCAACTAGTCTGGTCAAGGAACCTGAGGTTAGCGCACTACAAGTGCCGGCGGACGCGTGCGGCAGGACGGCGTACCGGCTGTATGCAGAACGCGCGCGCGCTGAACGGTCGGGTGTGCGAGACTGCAAGAGAACGGCATTGTTAGTACTCTGCGCATCAATGGCCCGGCGCGACATACCTGGACACAGGATTGGTTTCCTGCACGGCGGCCCCGTCCGTGTCCTTCGCAATCAACGTGGGCAGCGTCCTTTTGGATGCGTGCGACGGGCCTACTTGCGCGGATCGGCTGATGCGCCGTGAGCAGAGCGACGGTGGCAGGTCATCATACGAGCAACGAGCGCGGTCACGTACCCGCACGTCGGTCCATTCTGTGCGTACCATCAGCCGTCGTGTCCATCTGCTGACGACTGACAAGAACAACTTACATAGATGCACCACCTCCCGCCATGCCCGTACGCCCCCGTCCCCGGCCGACCAGTCGTTTGCAAGCGGCACAGCGCGGTCAGCACCATGCACAACGGCCGGCCGCGACAACTCACCTCCGCACGGTAGCTGCGCAGTCGAAGGCTCACGAGAAGGCAGCTCAGCGGGGCAAGAATGTAGACGACGTGAGTCTCCCTCGTTATATCTTCTCCCCACGCTCCGTCCGCCGCCGCCGCCGCGTAGGCTCTGCCGTCGCCAATTCGCAGACCCGCGTATGCGTGCGCTTCTTCCAGGCCCCTGTTTCCCCCGCTTCACCGTGATCGCGATGGTGCAGACGCGCCTAACTAACTCCTCCGCGCTCGATCACGCGCATTGTGCCGTCCCTCCGTCAGCATGCACACGCGCATGCGCCGCATCCCTGCGCGATCGCGAGTGCAACGACGGGTGTTTCCATGTACTGCAAGTATCCGGGCGCACGGGCGCACGATGTTATCACACGTGCTGCTAAATAATGGCGGTGGGAATGTCGACATTGCCGTGAGCCGGGAACAGCGCGCCCTTCTCCGACGGCGTCGCTCGCGCCCACGCAACGGACAGACGAAACGCGGGCGCCGCACAGCCAAATGCGCTGTTCGCTACAGACCGCATGCCCATGCCTACTGGCCGTCCGCGTTAGAATGGTCCGGCCGTGGTCCGCCCGCGGTACAGTGTTCTGGTTACGCCCTGGCCATGTCCGGTGCGCGAAACGTCCTTGATGTCTGTGCCTTCTTATGAGCAAAGATGTCGGCTGCGCCAGGATACCGATCACATTGAGGAACGTGATCGGGGTCTTGGCCTGCATCAGTATGCCTGATTGGAGTATGCTACGGCGTGCCCAGCACAAAGCGGCGGGGAACGGCCTCGCGCGCATACCGGAATAGCAACAAAGCAGAACATCAGCGCGCTCGTTCACGCCGCAGTGCGGCGGCGCGATTCCGTCCATGAAGCTGCACGCTACAGACCGACTCCGGAGGTTGGACAGGGGGCGCCGGGGTGCTTGCACGGTGTATTAGGGACAAGGCGCAGACTGTCATAGACATTCAGATTCTCATAGACAGGCCTGAGCTCCGGAATTGGACACGGAGGGACCGGAGGTCATTCTCTGCTGTGCGCACCCATCGCAAACTCGACGCCGTCACCTCAAGCATGTCAAGAGAGCCCGGAAACTGTGCTATACCAGGTGAGTGCAGATGCCGCAAATATGCTATCATCACCGTCCGCAGACACTCTCACAGCCAATTTATTGCAGTCAGTCCATTGCGGCGGCCACTGGCACCGCACCGGGATCATCTGCACCCCGTCCTCAAGCCGTGCCCTGCCCGCAAGTCCAGTACTTCAACGCTGTCACCTTGAGCCCCGCTGAAGCAACACGGTAAGTGTTCTCGCTTGTCGGCCGTGTATTTTGCGCTGTCCGCTCGCACCAGCCGTGTATTGTGCCGTCCTCATGTTCGTTTCATTTCGTCTTCGCCTCCGTTGCCTGTCGCCCGACAGCCTCGCACTGCATGCCCCTCCTTGGTGCGCTCGTCTACCCAACGAAGTCTCACACAAGAAGACAGGGTTGTCGGTGTTTCATGAATCGACGGTCAAGAGCCAATGCGCGCAGCGCAGTGTACCTGGATTGTGGGGCAGACCTGCGTCTAGCTATCGCATGCAGTCGCACTCCTGTCCTCCCCCGGTCACAGACAGCGCGCCCGCTTTCCCGCATCACGGGGCGCCCATCACCCCAGCTATGCGAAGACAAGCTACGTAATAGATGCGGTAAGTACAATCGAACATTTTCACTGTCATCATGCTGGCAACGGTCGCGGTATGCTTTGTGGCCATAATTTGTGTCAGGTTTATGCTCACTGTCGCATTGATAGGCCTACTTCCGGGAAAGATATGGCTGCGCGCTGCGGTACCCGGGCATGTTCGGTGTGTGCATTGGCAGCGTTCTGGAGATTTCTCACGCACTGCGCACCGGATCACAGCATTGCCCGCAAATGCATCCCTGATCGGGTATTCCGGCAGAGCATCCGAAACATACCGATATTTCGGCATGCTTATCACTTCCTGGGCCCGTGCGGTGGCAAAGTGGCTGCCGAGGACAAGTATCAACACTTATAAAGGTGGGCTGTTTTGCGACCGCGCATCATCTTCGATTACACTGTCGCTACGCTACCCTCATGCTGCTTTTCTGACTCCAATGTTGTGTCCCATGTGATCCTTGCTACCTCGTCTTCACCACTCTGCGCAGAACCTGCAAGTCGGACTGACCGGGACATCATGCAAGCCGGATGCAAGCGTCCGACAGCAATCGAGCTGCAAAGGTGAGAGGTCTCGTGTGTTGGGCCTCACGCCGGGCAGGTTGAGGGTCGAGGCAAGGGTGCGAGTGTGCGGAATGAGAATGCGAGCCTGAGCGCTGGTATAGACAAGATGAGAGACGGCGCACGAGCTATCTAAGGAGTTGCAGGGGTCGTTGACGACCGGGTACATGCGAAATTGGGCGCTGAGAACACAGAGACCATGGCGCATTGTATCGCGCTACAGTTTGTAAAGAGACCACGTGCGTAGTATCGCCCCGGTGAGTGTCTGTGTATAGTGGCGTGACCATCACCATGTAGCTGATGCGAATTGCGTTACAGACCACCAGACCGCGCAAACGGACTTTGGAGATAGTCAGCAGATGCTTCGAGCGACGGGATCACGCCAACAACACGTACCAGCTCGTGAATTGCGCAGGAAGATGAGGACCATCCACAGAATCGAAACTGACCGGGAACGTCAGCGCGGGACGATGGGTTCGCCCCGGTAGGTCCCAAAGAATGCCTGCGTGCACAGGCTGCTTGCCCTGACCGGGCCGCTAACATTTGCGACTGCACCAGCTTTGCGAGCATACCGGTGAGCACAATGTTGCAATGCGGGATTTGCTTTCCGTTCACCATATTGAGAGCTGACTGGATTGCGACTGCCCGGAACAGGATATTAGCAGGACGCGGCCGAGAGAAGACAAGAACGCGGGCTGACTTCACAGCGGGAACAGTAGCTACTCATTCGGGATGGCATTGCGCGAGCGAGGAGAGCATTAGGCACAGGATAATGAAGACTTTTAAAGGATAGCGGGAATGTACACACTGTATTGACGAGATTGAAATGACACAACCTTCCCGGTCTCGTACTGTCCCTGTGTCCCCTTGGGTGCGCTCCACCCCTCCCAGTGCGCTCTATGCCCCTCCCAGTGCGCTCCACCCCTCCCAGTGCGCTCTATGCCCCTCCCAGTGCGCTCTACCCCTCCCAGTGCGCTCTATTCCCCCTACACACACCCATCTCTCGATCTTTGTCCGGTCGTCATCTTGCTTGGACACTCGCACCACCTCCAGCTCGCGCAAATAGACGCCCGTGGCTCGGCACCTAGAATCCGCGCGCCAGGACAACATCCAAGGCGCAGGGAGGACGCGCCACGCACCACCTCGTGCATCCGCAGATCGCCCGCGACGCTGCACAGCATATACGCATCTGTCCTGCTAAGCCCGTGCGTCGCGCCTAAGTACGCGATCATGCCGCGCACCGCCGCACGCGTCGCCTCGCGGATATCTGTGCCCGCGGACTCGTCATCAGCGGCCGCGCACCCGGATGCGCCGATGGGGGGACGTTATGCTCACCAGGATCGACGCCGGTGGTGCAGTAGCATCCGCCGCTGTCTGCAGGGCTGCCGGCGGACGGCGTGGCGAAGTGCGGTGTCTGGACATACGGCGTGTCCTGCACGACCGTCAGGCGCACCGTGACCTTCATGGGCGTTTCGATCGCCGTGCCTGGCGTGCACAGACGCAGTGAGATGGACGCCGCGTAATGCCCGGCGAGGCGGGGTGACTCACCACAGACCTCTGCGCAACGGGAGTACCAAAAACATATACGTACTCAGCCCGAGCACGCACGCGCGACGACGCACTGACCTCCATCGCCCTGCGCGGCATGCCCATCCTACGCGTTCACACGACATCAGTCACGCACGCACGCCGCACCACGACGCCACGCCACGACACGCACCCCGATGGAGAACAGCGCGCCCTCGACCTCCACGGGCAGGAAGAGCGTCGCGCCGGCCGTGACGTGCCTCGTGTCGATGTTCCCGCCAGTCCTGTACAGCGGGATCGTCGCCGCGCTGCGCCGGCGCGACCCCCATCTCGCCCGCAAACGGCCGCAGCGGGACGCGTATCCCACGCGCCTCATCGAACCACGCGTAGGCCCGCCCCGCCCCGCCCTCCGCGCCCGGAAGCGTCCACAGCTTCAGCGCGGGCGCGGGGAACTCGTCCGCGAGCAAGCCGAAGCCGGGGATCGAGCGCGGTCCAGCCCCAGTCCTGCTGCGCGCACGTCCA